AATCTTTGAAACTATAGGTAGGCACAAAAGCATAAACAAGGGCAGAACAATTAACTGATAAAATGGACATTTTCATGATTAGAGATGTTGTGGTCGGGGTTTGTACGGAGAGCAACTAGAATCAGGACATGGAGTTTATGAAGTTGTTTTATAATGGTCACTGGGAGTTAACACAAGAAAGTGCAGGAAATCTATCTGCTACATCAAAGACAGAACATTTAGCCAAGGGCCTAAATCCCACAGCAATGTCCCACATGAGTCCAGATAAAAACCCAGAGCTCATGACAATGCCTCCCACCAGTCCAACTAGAGGTCTAGGGCCCACAAGGACCCACGCCAGTCTCTACGGATCTGTGCTGGGAAGGCCCAGAGGTCAGCGGTGGAAGCCAGAAAGTCCATGTCAGCGGGTAAGGAGCTGTGCTGGCGGGATGAGGGATCTACACTGGAGCCGAGAAGCCACACTCACAACAAGATCAGGGCTCTCCTGAAAAGCACCACAGCCACCCTCAGTGAAAGGGCACACATATATTGTTTTGATATGATGTTTTTAATTCCTTAGGGAAGATACCCAGAGCTCCCCCGACAAGCACAGTCAGGTACATTCCAGGAAGCCAGCGTGACAAGTTCATCCTGGAGACCAAGCGGCACACGTCTTCCCCTTCAGAGCCAGGAAGCAATGCTCGATGTGAGGACCAAAGCTTCTCCAGAAGAATCTAATGGCTCAAACAGCAACTTATAGGAGAACCCGCAATGCCTCAACGCAATAATGCATTAATGCCTTCCTTCTCCTTCTCCGCCTCTCCATTTATGCTGGGAACTTGCCTCAGGTGGAACATCTATACTCAGTGCCATGCTGATGTAATCCAGATAGCGTTAAGTTGGCCACCAGTTCTTAATTCATAGCAAGAGACTTCTGCTTTGACGAGGACACCTTTTAAAAAATGAAATGGGGCTTGCAATCCCAGCACTTGGGAGGCTGAGGCAGGAGGATCAGTGTAAATTCAAGATCAGCCTGGGCTATACAGTGAAACCCTGTCTCAAAGAAAAAAAAAAAAAAACCTAAAAAAAAAGGAAATGGACAACCATAGACGGAGAGAAACATTCACAAGTCATATTTATGTTTGTTCTTATTTGTTTGAGACAGGGTCTTGTTGTGTAGCCCAGGCCTGCCTTGAGCGCACAGCAATCTGGCTCAGCCTTCTAAGTCCTGGGATTATAGGCATGTGCCACCGCACCTGGTACAGAACAGGTTTTATTTTTTTAAATCCATTTTATTTCAAATAGAAAAAAAAGAAGAAAAAAACTAAAATGAAGTTTCAAAATATGTCAATGGGGGCAACAATGGCACATATATTGCACATTATCATTCCCAAATCATTCACCCAGAGCACAAGACCTCTGCTTTCAACTGTCCAAACAAAACCAGCACAAATCTTCCTCTATAGTGAACTCAAGAAATTGGTAGCATAACTATCTTAACTTTTTAAAAAATATATTTACACATATACGCATGTTGTTTCTTTCAGCTTCTCATACTAGTGAGCCAATATGATGTTCACACTTGTGTGTCTTATTTGTTCCATTTATGAGTATGATCTCAAGGTGCATCCACTTAAATATAAAAGTCTCCAGTTCACCCTTCTTTATGGCTGAGCATACTCCATTGTATAAAAATACATCATTTTTTATCTACTCCTCAGTTGATGGACACGTAGGTTGTTTCCAAGATCTGGCTATTATAAACTGTGCTACTATAAACATGGGCACATATACATTGTTTTGATATGATGTTTTTAATTCTTTTGGGAAGAAACCCAGAAGGGGAATAGCTGGGTTGAATGGGACCTCTAGTCTTAGTGTTTTGAGGAATCTCCTCACTGATTTCCACAGTGGCTGCACCAGCCTGCATTCCCACCAACGGTGGAGAAGGGCTCCTTTTCCCTGCTGCCCTTCCAGCTTTTGTGATTGCTTGATTTCTTGGTACTAGCCATTCTTTCTGGGGTCAGGTGGAATCTCAGCATTGTTCTAATTTGCATCTCTCTGGAATGACCAGTGACACTGAACATTTTTTCACATGCATATTTGCGGTTTGTATTTTTCACCTGAGAAGTGTGTATCTAGTACAGGTTTTAGAGCAAGGAGATAAATATGATGATAGATTAGTGGCTGCCAAATGACATATTAAGGAGCGCTCATCCTCTATCTTGTCGTAGTGGTGGTCACAAAACTGTGCTCGTGGGGCTGGGGATTTAGCTCAGCGGCATAAGCGCCTGCCTTGCAAGTGTGTGGTCATGAGTTCAACCCCTGGTACTGATAAAAAAAAAAAAGAACAAGAAAAAGACAAGACAAAACAAAACAAAAAATAACCTGTGCTCGTCACATTCATGAAATTCTAAGAACAAAAAACGCAGGAATTGTGTTGTATGTAAATTACTCTTCAGTAAAGTAGATATTAAGCAAGCACAATTTCCCAGTGACAGAGTCCCCAAGGTGTGAGTGACATTCACCTGGCCCCCACTGACCTACGTGGGACCTCAGACAAGCTGCTTAGCCTTCCTGTGCACCACGTTCCTTTTGGCAAAACATGCACAGGAGGAACTATTAGGCAGACATGGTGACACACGCCTTTAACCGCAGCGCTCAGGAGGCTGAAACAAGAGGATTCTGGCCAGGCTTGGCTACATAGCAATACCTTGTCTCAAAAAAAAAAAAAAAAAAAAAAAAAAAAGACACGGACTGCGCAAAGGCAAATTTATTTGCAATGTAAACGCCAATTTCAACAAATCATTTGAGAATAAGGCATCAACACAATGCCCAGTCACCTCCAAATATGTTACTGTGCATTTTCCATAAACAAAATAAATAGTTTCCCTAGGTGGGCACCGGGTGGATGGCTGTAACTCTAGCACTGGCCAGTCTGGGCTAGAAGACTGAGTTTAAGGACAGCCTGGCCTATATTGCAAGACCCTGTCTCAAAACACAACCGGACATCTCGCACATACCCACTGTCAGGTGGCAGTGGAGATGAGACCCCACAGCAGAAGCTCAGCTCTCTAATCCAGACTCATGCCACCATCCAGAGCTGAGCCAACGACCCTCGTGTTCCCCTGTGTAATTGGAAACCTTTCCCCTAGGGATAGCTTTATAAAAGTGCTTGAAAATATGTATAAGTAATTAACACAGGCAAATAAAAATTGACCCCCCAAAAAAGATAAAAAAATAAAAATAAAAATTGACTCATTCAACAAGTGCCCAGGAGCCAGGTTCTGGTGTATGCTTGTTTTTCCAGCACTCTGGGAGACTGCAGCAGGAGGACCACAGGTTCGAGACCAGCCAGAGCAATTTAGTGACTTAGAACTTTGTTAGAAATAAGAAAGAGGATAAAGACACAGAGACGGAGAGACTGGGGATGAGGCTCAGTTCAAAGGCCTTGTGTTTAATCTCCAGTATCGCAAGAAAAAAAACGAAAAAGAAAAAAACCCAACAATAATAAAACCAAATCAAAACAACAACCACAAATTCTCCTGAGGACTAAGGAATCTAGACTTCCCCAGGTCCCAACTGTGGGAACGGACTTGTCCCAGCCCTGGCCAACCCACCTGGGGGCGTGGGCGGGAACGGGCTGCCCAGCCCAGGGTGACGGGAGCAGGAAAGGCTGAGTCTTGCACGGGCTGGAGCCGGGCACCCGCCAGCCTGTCCCCCAGTTCTGCAGTAGCAGTCAGGCCGAGTCAGACTTCCCACACCCGCTTTGGTCAGGTGGACAAGGCATGGCCGGTGTCGGCCGCCAGGGGGCGACTGTGGCCTGCTGCAAGAAGTCTAGGCCCAGAGTCCGGCTCGCCGGTCCCGAGAGGCTGCGACACCAAACTCCGACCTGGACCGCAGGGCTGCGGCGCGCGCGTCCAGGGTGCCGGGCTCGGGGCGCGCGTGGCTCTGGCCCCACAAACACCACTCCCAGCATTAGGGGGGCCCCGGGGACCACTGGAGCCCGAGAGTCGCACCTGATGAGCGGCGCTGAGCTCGCAGGGCCTGTCCCACCCCCACCCCCACCCCCAGCCCCGCACAGTCTCCCGCGATTTGGGCGGCCGAGGGAGGGCTGCGGGGCGTCTGCTAAGGGGCGCGCTGCATCGGACACTGGCGTGGTCTCGCGTATCCCGGGCCATCGCGTCTGCCCCGAGGAGGCGCAGGCGGGGACCTGTCCCCACGCGGGGTGCGGCCCGCGGGATCCCCAGCCCCTCCCGACCAGACGCTCCGGGAACCGCCAGGGGGCCCCGGAGCTGGAAGCAGAGGGAGACGCCGGCCGGCCACGATCCTTACAGGCTGATCCCCACAGGCGTGCTGCGGGGCGGGGTCCTCGGGTCACCAAGCCCAGGGGCGCCTGCTCCCCTCGTTTTTTTCCATAGGGACCCACTGAGGCCATCGTCGTCCGCAATGTGATGACACCGGATGGTGTGCGCCCCTCATGACGCTAAACGTCGACACTGACTGAGCCTCAGCGGGTGGAGCAACACGGAGACCCAGAGACCTGGCTATGCCACATGGGCCATCGCCCTAAGGGGGCCGCTGAACCCTCCGCCCGGACACTGCCCGCACCTCACCTCACCCGAGCTCCGCCACTGGGGACTGAAGCCAAAGCTTTCCCATTGTGTTACATCCCTAACCCTTAAAATAATAAATAAATAAAATGAAATAAAGGTTTAAATTTTGAAACAGGAACCGGACCTTGGGCCAATGCCAGGAATCCCTGCACTTTGAGAATTTGGGTTGAGCCTGGTCAACTAGGAATTTAGGGAGACCCTATCTCAAAACACAGTAAAGGGGTGGAGATAGGGCTCATTGGGAAGCATAACTAGAAGCTAAACTGCCCAAGCTGGGCTCCTCCAATGTGAGACATTCTGGCCTTCCAAAGTGCTGATTTACAAGGGCCCCACTTCTGTTGAAGCCTAGACTGTTCTTGAACCTCAGTTGCCTCACTAAGAGAAAGGGGACACAAACAGAGAAACTACTGGATAACATTTTATTTGCCATTGAAGCTTTGTCCTTGCCTTTCCCGGACACATGGGTTCCACTCAGAGGACCCTCAGAAAGTCCAGCTTCACATCACCAGCCACCTCCAGCATCTGAATGTTCCCCATGGGCAGCCGGTGCTGGAAGTGATGACACACCCCGTCCCCGACCACCGCCTGCAGGGAGACAGTCAGGTTAGGATCCCAGGCCCTGAGGCAGGGCTCAGTCCCAGCTCTGCAGGTGCTGTGTGACCTGGACATCACTCGCCTCCTGAATTTCAGTTTCCCCAGTAGAAAAAGAAATTAATAGTAATTCCTTGTGGGTTTTCATTTAGACTTTTTTTTTGTACCAGGGATCAGACTCACAACCTTGCACTTGCCAGGCAGGCGCTTATGCCACTGAGCTAAATCCCTGGCCCTCTTTTTGGTTTTTTGAGAAAAGGTCTCAGGATGTAGTTCAGGATGCCCTGGAACCCACTGCATCCCCAGGGGGCCTACTGGCTGCAGTCCCCTGCCTCAGCCTCCCACAGTGTGCCCCACCACACCTGCCATGCCTCACGTTAATTGTAGCAGGACCACCTGAGCCTCCTGTTCTCCACAGTACAAATGTGCTCTTTCATGTGGGGGTTGGAGTGATTGTCATCATTTCGGTGTCAGCGACCCAGACGCTTGTATGCTCAAGGGCAGTTGGTGGGGGCCGTGGAAGGCGCCCCAACCCCAAGTCAGCCCCAGCAGAGCCCAGACCTCGGGCACCAATGGCAGGGGCAGGGACAGGGGCCACCCCACCCCTCTGGGACGCCTGAGCCCTGGCCCCGGCAAGGCCCCCCGCCGCCCCGCCCCACCTTGAAGCCCTCCTCAGTGGCAATGAGCAGCAGGTCGAAGGGCTGCCCACGCTGGAACGGGAGCCCCACGCCGCGCTCTTCGCGGCCCCATTTGCCCTTGTCCTTGCTGTTCAGCACCACCACGCCCTCGTCCAGCCGCGGGTTGAAGTGCAGCGCCGCGTCTGCCTCTGGCCCGTCGCTGAGCAGCAGATTCACGTGGAACCTGGGGGACGGCGGGTGGCGGGGCTCAGCCAACACCCCACCCAAGTCCTCCTGGCTTGGGGCCCACACTGCCGCCTCCCGAGCGCCCCAGGTTCCCAGGGAGTGGGACAGATCCCACCAGCCAGAGGGGAGGCCCCAGGTTCCCCAGGTGGTCTAGCTGGGACACACTTCCTTCCACCTGGGCCAGAGTCACCAACATCAGAGTCACGGTGTCCCCATTTCCAAGGATTCTGCCCCCACCTCGGGCCCCAGAGGACCTGGAGCCATACATCATAGGATCTGGCTATTTCTGGGGTACCCCACCTCCCAGGAGGCCTCCAGTCCCACACCCAGAAAGCCACAGGGGTGGCTGGCAAGGCCACCTGATGCTTGCCACACCTCTGGCACTTCAGCCTCATTCCAGAGTCCTCAGAGTCTCAGAGCCAGGTCCTTAGGGACACTTGGGGACCAAACTCCACAGTCAGGGGGAGAGGAGACAGGAGATCACACTCAGAAAGTCTGAAATGAGCCTGGGAGTCCCAGACTGCTTGCTGAAGATGGCACAGGGCCCCTGCTCAGGGCTGCAAGAATTGGGGATCAGCTGAGCCTGGGGACCCCACCCCGTGCCCTCTCTTGGGCTCTCACCTGCCAGCGTTCTCAGGGACTAAGCCCCGAATTTTCACCACAGTGCCCGCACGGACGCCCTCTGGCAGCGGGGTCTTGTGGGGGACGTTCTGCAAAGTTGGGGGGAGAACACTGAACCAGGGACACAGGGAAGGGGACAAGATGGGGGAGCCCCAGGAATAGACACATTGCAAGACCAGATGGGCAGATGGCAGAAAAGGGTCCCAGAGAGGAAGGAGAGTGACCCCCCACAGGTGGAGAAACTAGAAGCCAGGAGGCTTCTGCCCTTCCCCAGAGCTCCAGCCGGGTGGCCTGGACCCCACTCACCAAGCTCCCTGCCATGGCTGCTTGGCCAGCAGTGGTGTGGCTGGGCCAAGGTGGGGGCCCTTCAAGTAAAGGCAGGGCGGGTCTCTGACACCCCGCCCTTCCACCAGCACCCACGCCTGGCACAGACCCCAGCCCTGGGGCAAGCGGGTGAGGCTGGGGCAGGCCCTCCTCCTCCTCCTTTTCCTGTGCTTGCCGGGGCCCCACTGCACTGCCAGGGCCTGATCTGGGAGATTAGGGGCAGCATGGAACAAGAGCCAGAGCCCCCCAAAACCCACAAAGAGTCCGGCCCTAAGCCAACCGCTCTGCTCTCCTGCCTGCACACAGGGCCTCTGCCAGCTGCATGGGACTCCAGGTGTGGAGCCTCCTGCTCCATGGGTTGCGGCCCCTTCTCTCTTCCCAGCCCAGCCCCTGTCAACCCCAGATGGCCCCCCTCAGACCCTGGCCTCCCCCTCTGTGTTGTCACTGTCTCCGCAAGAGCAGCCATGTAGCCGCAGGCTCTCTTGCTGTGTCCTGGTCCCCAGATGTTCCTGGCACATGGTCAGTGCTCAGGGACTCGGGTGAATAAGGGAGACCGAGATCAGCACCCTCCCTCAAGCCTCTGGGTCCCCAGATGTGCAGGCATCGCTGACCCTCAGCTGGGTATGCAGGAGTGTGGTCACCCTGTCCACTGCCAGCAGTGGAGGTGGGCAGGAGCCTTTGGCCCAAGGAATTGACCAGGCCTTAGTGTGTCCTTGACTCGTGTGGGAATTGAGGGAAATGGTGAAAGAAGTTTCTGGAAGTAAGGGAACAGGACGGGTGGGGGGACAAAAGGCTAAGCACAAGCTGCACCCAGCTCTTCTCCTGATGTCCCCTCCCCCACCTGCCCACACGGGCCTCACCCAGCAGGTGGCCCAGAGCCCCAGGGAGGTGCGGGGTGGGAGTGGAAGTTGGGGTGGAGACTCTAGTCACAGAGCTCCTTTCCTCAGGCTCCCAACTGAGGCCTCCCAGACTTCCCGCCCCTCCTCACACTGCAGGGCCCCCAAGTGAAAATGTGGTTCCGGGGAGCAAGAGCTCAGAGAGGGATCCTGGGTAGCCATATTAGTGGGTGAGACTGCAGAGCGCCCCACTGCCCAGGTGAGAAACTGAGGGAGGGGCCGTATCTCAGCCAGGCCACAAAACAGGGATGGGGCAGACCCAGTGCCCCGCCCAGGGCTCTAGGTGGCCCTTCCTGACATTGATGAGGGTCACTGATACAGTTTTTTTTTTCATGACTAAGGATTGAATCTAGGACTACAGTGAGCTATATCTCTAGTCTTTAATTTTTTTTTCTTTTTTCTTTTTTTTTTTTAGTACAGAAGATTGAACTCACGACCTTGCACTTATACCACTGAGCTAAATTCCCGGCCCTTAAAAATGTATTTTTGCTTAAAATTTTGAAGCAGGGTTTCCTAAATTGTTATGTTAGTGTGCAATTACAAGCATGAGCCACCATGTCAGGCTTTAAAAAGTGTTTTTAGGGGCTGGGGATTTAGCTCAGCGGCATAAGCACCTGCCTTGCAAGCAGATGGTCGTGAGTTTGATCCCTGGTACCAAAAAAAAAAAAAAAAAAAAAACGGTTTTTAAAGAGCTCAAGGCTGAGAGTGTAACTCAATGGTAGGGCACTTGCTTGGCATAGGCATCTGTGAGATCCTGAGTTTCATCCTCAGTATTGAAAAAAAATTCAAACACATCAGTTATAACTTGGCATGGTGACACATGCCTACAATCCTAGCACTTGGGAGGCTGAGGCAGGAGAATCACCATGGGTTCAAGTCCAGCCTATACAACGACACCCTATCTCACAACCACAACAAAATAAATAGATACAAGGATTCTCTCTAGTCCTGCAAAACCCCAGTGACTCTTCCAGCCTTTAGTTTCTACTGATGCTGCCAGTTGTGCCTAACTTGCCAGGGCTCAGGCTCCTGTTGTCCCTCCTCTGCAAATGTGACTCCCTTCTGAGGGTCAGAGGCGTGCCCTGTCCCACTGCAGAGCACTCCTTCCCAGGCTGCCCGACAGCTCCAGGTGGTGTGGTGACCTCCCCCTGCAGTCGCCCCTGCCCATGGCAGCTGCTGCTGTCTCCTCCACTGTCGATGTCCGCTCCCGGCCGGCAGGAAAGACACACGACAAGGTCTGGCGGTGGTCAGGCTTTTCTTTATTCTCTCCTTATACAGTCTGCCCCGAAGCCTCTACCGGTCCGCTCTCCGCGGCTCCTTCCGTGCTTCAGTCTGCCCCGAAGCCTCTACCGGTCCGCTCCCCGAGGCTCCTTTTGTGCTTCAGTCTCTCTCTCTCTCTCGGGGGTGGAGGCACTGGCTATATATAGGATTAATAGCTAGGCAGACTACCCTGTGAGGCGGGAACTTAGTGGGGTGATAAGAAACAGGTGCCACACAGGCGGGCTCGATGAGAGGGGTAATCTAGCCCAGGCTTTTGTACTTTCCCACAGGCCTCGCAATCACCGCGTCTGATGACTTGACAGTGCCACGGCTCCCAACACTCCACTGTCCTTCTGTCGCCCTCATCAGCCCTGGGCGACCTCCCTCTTGGTGCTGCTCGGGTGGACCCAGCGCCCCTCAGTCCACAGTCCTCTCAGCCTCAAGGAAGCAACCTCAAGCAGGCAACAAACAGAATCCCTTTAGATCCAAATTTTCCACAAAAGAAGGAAGAGCGGGAAGAGAAAAAGGGCCATTTCATATATTGTTCTGCTTATGTGCTTCTATTTCCAAGAATGCCTTGAAACTTTTATTGGACCATTAAAACTAAAACATGGATACAGTGCCCTGTAAAATCATGCATGCAGCTTAAAGTGTTTAAGAGTTTCATTAGTGAGGTTTATTCATGGAAATGAGCACTGGGGAAAAGACTTCCCTTTGGCAGGGATTGCTCAATTCACCGTATTTATAGATAGAACTATAAGGCTTTGAAAAGACATTGGAGCTTAAAACAAAAGTCAAATTTTGCCAAGTGTAATTTTATTTTATTTTTTAAATTAACTAATTTACCTGTTTATTTCTTTATTTTGAGACAGGGTCTCACTATGTAGTAGTGCAGGTTGGCCATGAACTCACTACATAGCCCAGGCTGGCCTCATGTGATCCTCCTGTCTCAGCCTCCAAGTGCTGAGATTGTAGGCATGAGTGACCCTGACTGGCTCAGAAAGTGTCATTTTAATCATAAGAATGTTAATTTACTTCAAAACCCAAACAAGCCCTGTGTCTTCTTCAGTATCCTAAATTAGCCAAGCATGGTTGTGAACACTAGTGAGCCTAGCACAGTGGCTGATGCAGGAAGAGTGCAAATTCAAGGCTATGTAACAAGACACTGTCTTAAAACAGAACAAAAATTCACACTGACCAGCCTGGGATTGTAAATTCCTAAAAAACCTGTGTGCAACTATTTAAGCAGGCATGGTGGTGCTGTAACCCCAGCACTCAACAGAGTGAAGCAGGAGGACCGCTATGAGTTCAAGGCCAGCCTGGGCTACATTAGTGAGACCTTGTTTTTCTTCCTTCCTTCCTTCCTTCCTTCCTTCCTTCCTTCCTTCCTTCCTCCCTTTTCTTCTTTTCTTTCTTTCTTTCTTTCTTTCTTTCTTTCTTTCTTTCTTTCTTTCTCTTTCTTTCAAAGCAGTATGCAGCTATAATTTCCCCACCTAACATGTTTCTCAGCAAAACCAGTCTACTGAATCCTCCTTTCTGTCCAAGGCAAATAAAATGTGGCTACGAAACACTCAGGGGTGACAGTGATTTCCTGGGGCAGGGTACTGGGGAACCTGACCAGAGAGGTGGTTTGCACAATCTTCGAACCCCAGTGAAACATTCTGTTCAGATCCGCACCTTTTTGAGTGGGACTTAACAGGCGCTGAACAGAGGCTTCACACCGAGCTCTATCTGGAGGCCTTTTTATTTATTTATTTTTTACTCTTTTTTTAATCATTGGTACCAGGGATTGAACTCATGACTTCACGCTTGCAAAGCAGGCGCTTATGCCACTGAGCTAACTACCCAGCCCTTTTAGTTTTAAATTTTGAGACAGGGTTTCACTAAGACCCTAAGTTGGGCCTGAATTTGCAGTCCTCCTGCTTCGGTCTTCCTGAGCACTGGAATTGCAGGCCTGGGCTGTCAGGCTCAGTAAATCAGCACCTGTGTTTATATTTTTATTTTTATTTATTTAGTTTTTGGAGGGGACAGGGTGGAAGGAGCAGGGAACTTTTTTAAAACAAGAAGTGTATTTCAAGTGTATTAAAGCTTCTTTGGAAATAAATACATTAATTACTTAGGTATTAAAAATGTTTGCGAAACAGGTCAGACACCCAGGTGTAAAAGCTGAAAGAAACAACATGTGTATATGTGTATGTACAGAGGTATATAAAAAATGGTTAAAATAGTTACACCACCGATTTCTCTGAGTTCCCTGAGGAGATTCGTGCCGGTATTGCCCAGATGGTTGGGTGCAGATGTCTTCTGCCCCGGGGGAATGATTTGGAGATGCCAGTGTGCCATGTTTGTACCAGTGTTGCCCCTGATGGATGTGCTTGGAAACTTTTCTTCTTTTTCTCTTTGATTAAAATGGATTTGGAAATAAGTAAAAAAATAAAAACTAGAACTGTTTGCAGGGCTATCATGAAGCACTGATAAGATAATCAACAGAAATGAGTAAGAATGCAGAGCTAAGCAAGCGAGGTTATATAACCTGCTCTACTGATGAGCAATCACCACGCTGGCCTGCGACTTCAAGATTGTCAAAAAGTCCTAGTTAGGTGTTGTGGCAGCTCCCCTGTAAACAAAACAAACAAAGCCCCCCAAAAACCCAGTTTAAACTATGACTGGAGGCACATCTGTTGGAGGCCAGACCTCAAGAGAAAGACAAAAGGACCAGCCTGCTGCCTCTCCAGGGGACAAACATAGCACATTAGCATTGACATCACTTGCCCCAGTGGTTTGGTGGTTAAGACACCGTCGGAGGTGCATGTGGACCATGGCTCAGGCCAAGTCTCGCTTCTCCTGGGGCAGGCGGTCTGCGTGTTGTTCGAAAGTGCTGTGGTCACTTAGCTGACTGTGGTGTGCAGCAGCCTAGCCAC